AAGTGTCCTTACCTTTTAACTAAGTTTCCTAAAGTGTTGTTCTTAACTATTTCGAAGTTATCAAATTATTGATTACGAACAACCTCTTCAATTCCGCTTCCGATCTCGAACTTGAAATTTGAACTGAAAATTATAACTCAATCGGAGTTATTTTGATAATAAAATTTGCCAATTACAAATTTTATATCTCACACTATGTTGTGGATATGTTTTTTTTTTTCTTTCTTAACATAAATTTGGAACAAAAAAGGTAAATTGATTTTGAATTATTTGAGGTGTCAACTAGTTAATACAACAAAATACGTGTAACTGCAAGAATTATGAATATTATCAACAACTTAATGATAAAGGCTTGCAAAGGTGACATGGAGCCACATAAAAAAAAAAAAAAAAAAAGGTGGATCGGGAACACAGGAGTAGATCAGCAGCCTGAAGATCGCTTTTAATATCACAGGTTGCTATTCAAGATTCAAACAAACTCTGATGAGGTTTATTTATTTATTTTTTATTATCTTTTAATGTTTTATAATAAGAAAACGTCAAAACCCAAATCTCTAATGACATATACTTCACGTCTTTATTGAAATTTGTTAGCAAAAAACCAAACAATCATATACCTGTCGAAGATTTTCCAATCTTCAACAATATCTAAATGTAGTATTAAAAAAAAAACATGTGAATATTATAAAATAAAAAGATTCTCATTGTGACAATTTGTAAATAATTTATGCTTTGTTTATTAGTACAAAGGTTTTTGTTTTTTGGAAGTTGTTGAGCATCAAACATGCATCGACTATATGACCTGTAAGTTGTAACTCTCCATGTGAAAGTAGGTGTCTTTCACATGAAAAGCCTCTCCATCAGGATTTAATTAGTACTAATTTACAATCCTAATCTTATCCGGTTTATCAAAAACGAAAAAAAAAAAAAAAACGAAAAAAGAGAAAAAAAATCCTATCGAATATGCATTGTTTTAATGTTTACAATGAGAAACCGTGAAAATTGAGCACCATGTATGAATAGACTATAATTGTCAGTATTTGAGATTGACATGTTACGTGTTTAATCCTAAAATTGCGGATCCAAATTCCCTCCAACTCCTTTCGCTTTCTAATGCATGTCACAGGTTTGATATTCAAGGTTCAAACTATGAGGATCTTTATTTTGTTTTATTTTATATATATATATATATATATATATATTATACAGTACCTTCTAATGTTTTACAATGAAAAACGTGAAAACCCGAGCACTATGAAATACAGTATAATAATGGAGAATGACATATATGTATGGTGTTGATTGTAATATTTCGGATCCATGTCGTCTTCTTCTTTTTTTATTGAAATTATTAACAAAAAAACAAACAATCATATACATGAATGTTGTATTAAAAAAAAAAAAAAAAAAAACCACGTGAATGTTAAAACATAAAAAGATTCTTGTAAATAATTTATGCTTTGTTTATTAGGTATTAGGACAAAGGTTGTTGATGCCTTCGCAAATAAAAAGATTGACATGTTAGGTGTTAATCTCCAGATTCCCTCCACCAACGATTCGCTTTCTAATATATACAAATTACTCAGTATATTATAATATGGGTGTCTTGGCTTCAAATCTTCAATAAAACCTCACTTTAAAGTGGATAAATATATAGCATCATCATCATCTCTCTCTACTAAAATTAATTCAAATTCATTCTATTTTTTTTTTCACCTCAATTAAAACCTATAAACATGAAAAACCACCTATAAAGAAAATGTGTTTGTATATATATATATATATATTATATACACAAAAAATGATTTCTTGTACAAGGGTGACCAAATATGGCGAGAGCTGAATGTCAAAAATGTAATTACCAAAAAAATATAGTAATAACTTTCAACTATTACTACGTATTTTTTGTTTTCACTGCGCAAGCATTACTCTATTTTTATATGTATGTATATTTGCTTTAGTATGATTATCCATTAGTTATCTATTTTCTCACAAATTAAGAAAATCAAAATACAAAACGACTCTTACAATTAGTCTTTCTATTGAAATTCTAAAAAATACCTAAGAAACCTAGGTTAAAATTAACTACGGATATATGGAGCGGAGTAAGGGGCAGAGCCAAAAATTTTGATTTGGGGGCTAAACTATTCTGTAATTAAATTTTGAAAGATTCATAAATCAATTATATATATTTATTTATAATAATATAATTCTTTTCAGTATAAACATTGCAAAAAATACAATTCAGAAAGTGGGACCAAGCAACCTAAATAAGTAGTGATTGAAATTAATAGAAAAAAGAAAACATAAATAAAGAAGAGAAAGGGATAAGTTTTAGCTAGGTAAAAAAAAGAAGTAAAGAAAAAACATTGTTCAATAAATTTTATTCAATAATTGTTTTAGATTTTTTAATAATCCAATTATTGAAAAAAAAAAAATCATTACTTTGATTCCACTTTGAGAAAGATATGTGATTCTTACCTTGATGAAGACTAAAGGAAAAAAATTACTAGCAACATTTTAATTCAACAAATATTTTATCTTACAAATGACAATTAAAAAAAATTAAGATACAAAATATTATTGTTGTTGATATTCTTGCCATCTTGATGTCACAATATTTTAGTTTTCTCCACTTTCCAATACTCCCAAGTCATTCAATGGAGATTGACATATAATTTTAGGTACCTTCATATAAACATCATTTAACGAAAATGACTGATAAGGAAAGTTAATTTTATCTTTATTCCTCCAGAATTCATGTAATAAATATTATATTTATTTAACAAAAAGGAAGAAAAAAATATTATAAATGTGTATGTATGTATGTATGTATATATATATATATATTTCATCTGCCCCATAACACACAAACTTACCTCTCGAATCCCTGCCAATGGCGTTATATCACTGGAGAGTATAAATGCGTATACATAAGAACCAATAATACATTGCAGTATATATTTAAATTTTGTTGTCAAGCAATAGTATTAGGACGGGGTGACCCCTGAAAAATTAGTGTTGCACTCTTGTTTAAAAAATTATTAACAAAAAAAAAAGAACTAAAATAACAATAAATTTATATTTTTATTCAACGCGATTTGAGGTTTTAAAAGTAAATTTTTTTATAATTTTTGAGTGAATATAAATTATATTTATTTATATACTCATAATTTTTAGGTCGAATAAATAAGTGTTTTGAAAACTTCTCAACAGACCAATTAACATTTTATACAGGTTTGGGGCCACAAATTAGATTCATTTACAAATTATATATATAAAGAAGAAATTTGGTATATTTTTTTGTGCACGTGGGGGGGTGGGGGCAGGCACGTGCATTGCCTATATATACACCCATGCAGCCATCTTCCTTTTATATCAAGACAACCCTTCCTTCTCTTCCTAGCAGAGCTAACAGCCTTTCTCATCTCTTCTTTTTTGGTATGTAAGTTTTTTCCATCTTTTTGGCTATTACATCTGCATCCTTTCTTTCTTTCTTTCTTTCGTTTTTTTTTTTTTTTTTTCTATTATTATTATTTTTTCTCATTTGATTCTCAAAATGTTACATATCAGCAGTGATTTTATAGACACGAGGTTTTCAAGTAATTGTCTCTGAATTAAACTTTTGAAATATATATATATATATATGTGGGCAACCTCTTTCTTCTCTCTCTCTAACATTACCAAAGGGCCACTAGTGTCTAATTTATCCTCTTCAAATGAGGAGATTGAGAGTTCCAGTCCACTAAAAACAAATTGTAGATGATAATTTAGACTGCGTTTAGTAACAAGAAACGTTTCTTATTTTTTGTTATCAACCTCTAAAAAGGTAAAACGAAAACAAAAATTGCGTTCAATAAAATGTTTTTATTTTTCTATAACAGAAAACGTTTTCAATTTTTGTGAAGAAAAGAGAAAACATTAAAATGATGTTTCTTATATTTTCGACATTGTAACAAAGAAACGTTTTCACTAATGTTAGTACACAGACACTATTCATTTCAAATAAAATTCATATTATTTGTGTTATATACTAAGTTGTATATTAAATGTTAATAAAAATATATATTTTTAATATAGAATAAATCAAATATTGTATATTATTTAATATATAATATATTAAATAATATTGTAAATGATTTTTTGTGACAAAATAATTTTTGATACAGAATATAATGTTATTAAATTATTAAGCAATAGATATTTTATATTATTATATATCATATCTATATTATATTATACGTAAATATTAAATTATAGCTAATTTACAATATTATAACACAATATATATTTTATTACATATAAGATATATTATTTAATATTTTTTATTCATAATAAATTATCATATTCTAAATATATTATATATGATATAATAAATGTATACATCATACATATACATGTATTTATATACATAATTGGTGGGAATGTTTTTGTCTTGATATATCTTATTTTGTACTTATGATGTATTGAGTATTTTTAAGATTTATAATTTTAAATTAGACTTTCTAGATTTATAGCTTTTTTATATTAATGGAAGCAAATGTCGTGCTAAAATGGTTGTGTTGCTCCCTGTATCCGAGAGTTTGTGTTCAAGTCATCTACCCTCCCCTCTAATAACTAATTCCTAAAATAAAATAGAAATGAAAAAAATAAAAAATTAAAGAATATTATGTACATTTTGTAACAAATATGTTGTATTACTAAACACAATTATTGTTTTAGGTTTTCAAATTTGTTGCAACAACAAATGTTAATAAACAGTATTTCTGTTTTCTATTTTCACCTAAGAAAACAAAATCATGTTTCTGCTTTCTTAAGGCTGCAAAAATAAAAAACGAAAACGTTACTAAACGCACCCTTAATGTTACAAAATGCCTCTAAATATAGTAAAATGACACAACAGCTTATATGTGTGTGTGTATATATATAATGCCTTTTGATCTAATTACTTTCTCCGGAAAATTTGAAGTGCTAAACTTATCTACAGATTTTAAAAATCCATGGCGGATGGGCAGAAAGTTGTTTTCGGGCCATATGGTGGTACAGGAGGAAATTCATGGGATCACGGATCCTACAATGCCACCACAATAAGGGAATTAAGAATACGCACCGAATCGAATCATCTTAAATCGGATATTATCTCCTTACACATTTGCTATGATATCGAAGGAAAGGCTGTATGGGGAACAAGATATGGTGGTGGTACGTCCAAGGGAGCTACACACGTGGTAATATATATATATATATATATATATATAATTTAATTTTCAAATTTGAGACTCGATGTACAAATTTATTTAATTCTGTATTTATCATGCCTCTCACTTTTTTCTGAAATTAAGCTAACTAGACAACATAACATCTCAAATTTCTAACTATATCATTGTACCACATTATGTGTGTGTGTATATATATATATATATTAGCAGAACAATTTAAACAAATCTAATAATTAAGCCACAATATCATTTCAACTTTCAAATATTCAAGTGATCGACATTCACATCACACTGATAAAAGTTTTATCAATTAATCAAATCCTCTTTCATCGAGTTTCTCATGGTTAAATTTTATGGAATTGAAAAGCTAATCAAATAATAATTGCTATTATTATTATTATTTATTTTTTGGTAAATACATCATACATGAGAGGAAAAAAGAAGAATTTTAAGGAAAAAAACAAAAATTGCTAATTTGCTACTACAATTATTATTATTTTTTGAATGTTTCACTTATTGCTACTACAATTGCTTATTCTAATTGTTGGACATATATGTTGATTTACTATCTTAAAGACAAGATCCAAATCATATCACATATACAGGGATGGAACCATTGTAGGATCAGGGACACCTGCTCCCTCGCCCCTGTCCAATATATTCTCTTTATACTTTTTTATATAAATATATATATATATATATAATGTATGAGAAATTTTAATTAATGTCTCTTAAAAAATTTTAATCGCTAAAAGTATCTCTTAATTTTTTTCTTTCTTTTCTTTTTTACTATTCAAATTCCTTTGATTCCCTCAGATGAAAAAGTTATAATCCATCTCTTCAATCAAACTCTATTTTTTTTTCCTTTCAAAGTTTTCTCATTTTATTATTTTTTTCTTCTTCTTTTTTTCCTTTTCTTAAAATTCTTCTTTTTTCCACTCATGTATGATGTATGTACTATGACTTTTTTTCCTTCTTATTCTTTATTTTTTCTCTTCTTATTTAAATTTATTATTGTAATTTTCCGGACTCAATATGTGCATTTTACATATTAGAACTTTTCTTACTGTACTTCTACATATTTTTATTTTTATTTTTATTTTTTTTGTGAATAATGACATACTATTTGAATCTTCACTAAAGCACTCTCATTGCACTTCTATTGTTCATACTACTGCCTTACTGTACTGATAGTGAAAGATGTCACGTTAGTTGAAAAACAATTACTCTATCATGTTCAATATGTTTCCCCAGAATTAGATTTTTGTCTCCATCACTATTTTTATTAATGCAATCATACATGGCTAAATTGATTGAGGCTAATTAAATAAAAAGAAAAAATAGGGCAGCTGTCTAATGTGGCTAGATAATGAGGCTATCATGCATTGCTTTCAAAATACGAAAGCCCATCAAGGACTATTGTAATTGTAGTGTCTGAAATTATTATAAATCAATACTTTGGTTCTTATATGTATTAAGTATTTAACTTTCTCATACTACTCATTAGTTGGCGTATTATTTTGCATTGATTTTTGTTTATTATTTTTCTTGGTTGCCTTTTGGCTTGAGCAATCTATATTTTTCATGTTAGTTTAATTTTCTTTTATCAAATACACTCCCCCGGCTGTGAAATGAAATCTTGACCCGTTTCCACATATAAATGATATATACATATCTTAGAACTCCACAATCCAAATTATGAAGCATACAACTATATATACTTATCTTAATATAAAAACCTATTATTGTGATTCGAATGTTGTTTCAGCCCGGATCCCATTGCAACCTGGTTTTGATCCGAGTATTGGGCTTTGCCTCTGAATTTTTTTTAATCCATATTGTCTTACAGGTCATGAATCTGTATTTTAGTCTCTATTGTAACCAGGTTTTGTATTGTTGTATGAGAAAACATTGAAAGACGAAATAGAAGTGTAATTGAGACAAAAGATTGGGGTCGTGAAAACTTGTAATCTTTCTTCTTCTTCTATTTTATTTTTATTTTTATTATTTATTATTATTATTTTTTTTCCCACATATTGATATATTTTTGATGATTTTCAATGTGAGCAATACAATTTTATGTCCTTTATTTTTTTTTTTTTATTTTTTTTTTTTATTTTACGTTTGTGGTTTGTTGGTGTTTGTCATAATAACTAAGTTTTTGTTGTTAATTGAAATAGGTGAAACTAAACTATCCTACCGAGTACTTCATTTCGATATCAGGGTACCACAGTTCTGGATCTCAATATGTGAACTCTCTTACATTCCAAAGCAATATAAGGCATTATGGACCATATGGTGTTGAAAAAGGAACTAGTTTTGTAACCCCGATAACAGCCGGCAAGATTGTTGGATTCTTTGGAAGAGCGGGTGATTATATAGATTCGATTGGAGTATATGTTAAGCCATTACCAGTTATAATAACTGTTGGCCCATTTGGAACTACTGGTGGACAACAGTGGGATGACGGAACCTTCAACAATGTAAGGGAATTGATTATACATGCCGGAGCGTTAATTGATTCCATTCAAGTTGTCTATGATGATGTTGATGGAAACCTAGTATCGGGAGAAAACCATGGTACTGTCGGCGGTGCAAAATTCACGGTTAGTTATAATTTTCCATTTAATACATCATAATAAAAATTCCTCTCTTTTGTTGATGATTTTACTATTCAAGCTTTCATTTATGCTAATATGAATGCTATGTAAACTTACCTTTTTTAAACCAATATAACTTGTGTAGGTCAAATTAGACCAAGATGAATTTTTGCTTTCATTTTGGGGCTACTATGGACAAGTCGCTGACATGGTTGTTATCCGGTCGCTTGGATTTCAAAGCAATAAAAGAACGATTGGACCGTTTGGCGTGGAGGAGGGAGAGAAATTTCAATCCTCATCCACTCGTAGTAAGATCATCGGATTCCATGGAAGGTCTGAGAGTTATCTTAGTTCAATTGGAGCATATCTTTCTGAGTCATCTTTTGCCGCAATACCTGCTGAGGCTGCAATGCTTGTGGCTATTGAGGCTACAATACCTGCTGAGGCTAAAATGCTTGAGGCTTTTGAGGCTACTGGGGATGCAACACCTGATGGTCTACTTTGAGGTCTTAATGGACAGCAGTCAGAACCATCATCCTCAAGTGAGGATAAAATTTAGCCAATGATCACGAGCCACCTTTTAGTAGTCGTCTTTTAATCATTAATAATTAAATGCATATATTTGCATTTGATGCCATTGTAATAATGGATGCTCTATGTTGTCCTTAAAGCTTGGTCAAAGTGGTTAAGGCAACATAAATTTGTATCCGTGTGTGTTTCATGTTTCTTTGTGTGTTAAGCTTCAAAGTTTTAGTTGGTTATGTATTTTGTAAAATTATGTTAATTGAGTGATAAGATGATATTATGTGTCATCTTTGGCATTCTTAATAATAAATTGGGGGCTGTTGTTGCAAAAGAAGCTAGCATCTTGTTGGTTGGTTGTGCATGAAAAGATTTATACTCTCTGATGTAGTGCAAACATGGCAGCCATGTCAAAAAATTATGGAGGCTGAGGTGGCGGTGGTTCAACGGGAAGATCAACGGTTATCTTGGAAATGGCTTGGAATATAAGACTTATTTTCCAACTACTTATATTTATATTTCTTAGTATTTTGTGTTTAGTAAGTTATGCTTAATTTATTAGTCAACCTTGAATCTTGTGTTGAAAGTTGGAAGTTGAAGCATCTTTAATGTAATATTGAAGTTGAAGACTTATATTTCTAGGTGTTGATGTAAAGGAGAAAGCAAACTTTGAATATTATGTTTTGATAATGATATTATAGAGCATTTGCTCTTGTTTATCCACTCTTTCTCTTGGTTGTGACTTCTTGTTCTATAATTCTTCTTCTTCCTTCTCATCCAACCACGTCATTTGGTATAAGAGCTTGCACTACGCTCTCAGACCGACTTTTATTGTTCTTGTTTCATGGCGGCTAGAAGAGGTAGAGGACGAAATGGAAATCGTATGATGGGAGATTTAAGGGATGAAAGAGATGATGAATTTCAAGCACTTTGAAGACAAGTTGAGTAACTTACGTTACGGCTGGAACGCACAAGAAGCTCATCGTGAGCATGGTAGATCAAGTCGCGGGTCTTCTAGTGACGAGTCCGATGAGAACCCTTTTGCCAATCGTGCGGGGCCATGGTTGGGAAGGTTCTATCGTGATTCTAAATATGTGAAGATTGATTTACTGGAGTTCCATTGACGTCTTCAGCTCAAAGAGTTTCTTGATTGGCTTAGTGCCATTGAGAAATTCTTTGATTACAAAGAAACACCCGAGAATCAAAAAGTAAAGCTTGTGGCAACAAGGGTTCGAGGTTATGCTTCGGCATGGTGGGACAAAGTTTAAGAGATGAGGCTTTGCAAGGGAAAGCCTAAAATTACATCTTGGGAGATAATGAAGTCTAGACCTCAAGAGATATTTCTACCTTTGGATTTTGCGCAAAGTTATTTTTCTCAATTTAACAACCTTTGCCAAGATTCAAAGAGTGTGCTAGATTACACCGAAGAATTTTACAAACTTATGGCCTGGAATGACATTCAAGAAACTAAAGAACAACTTGTTTCAAGATATGTTGGTGGGTTGAAAATTCCAATTCGCGATGAAGTAGAAATCCATCGAGTATGGAGAGTCAATCATGCTTACCAATTAGCCTTGAAAGTTGAGACTAAACTTGCTCGTGGTGGTGCTAAAAAGTTTGTGGATGTTTGTAGTTTTTTTCTTCCTTCAAAAGGTGAATCTTCTCATAGTGAAAAAACTAATTTCAAGTTTGAAAATGTGATAAATTTTTTTGCAAAATCAGTCCTTGCTAAACATGGAGGAGCTCAATTTAGTCGCAACAATCCAATTTCTTGTTTCAAATGTGGCCAAGTTGGGCATCATTCCAAAGAGTGTCCAAAAAGGCAATTTGATGCTCGTGTGGCATTTAGTAACAAAGACAATGATGATGAAGTCTTTGATGATTCAAATCAGCCCATTTATTACGAGGAATGTGAAAAAAATTGAACCCGAAGAAGGCGAAAGCTTAGTGATCCAAAGAGCACTTGCCACTCCTAGAGTTGAATCCAATGGAGATTGGCTTCGGTCTAATATCTTCAAGACTCGTTGCAAATCTCAAAGCAAGTGTGCATAATTGTTATTGATGGTGGGAGTTGTGAAAACATCGTCTCACAAAAAATGGTGAACAAGCTCAAACTCCAAACCGAGCCTTATCCAAAGCCTTATCGGATTGCATGGTTCAAGAAAGGAAACGAGGTAAGAGTTTCTAAAAGGTGTCTTATTTCATTTTCTATGGGCAAAAATTATAATGATCAAGTATGGTGTGATGTTGTTCCTATGGATGTGTGTCACATACTCCTAAGAAGATCGTGGCAATATGATAGAAGTGCCATCTTTGATAGTCTCAAGAATACTTACACTTTTAAAATGGGTAAAGTGGAAGTTGTTCTCTCACCAAGTAAAGAGGAAAGAACCCTCAAAACATCACAAGATGAGGGTAGTAATTTTCTCGCTTTGCCAAAGTTTACGGAAGAAAATGATGAAAATGTGATGACCACGACAACAATGGAGGAAAAAAGAGAAGAACATGAAGTCCTACCTTTGATGGATTCATTTAAAGATGACACTCCTATTTTGGTGTGTAAAGAGTTGAAAGAAAATCAATTTCACTTTTATGAAAAAATTTGGGAAGAGTTCATGGAGCGTAAAACAGTTAAAAGGAGTGCAATGAAAGCAAAGATAAATGTTCAAATTTTGGTTCATGGGAAGTGTTCGATCATGTTTGCCAAATTTGTTCACTTTGAAAAGAGAGCATGGAAAATCTATTATGAATTTTTTTTTTTTTGTTGGTAGAAAAATATTAATAGGTTTTACTCGAGTGCGTAAAAGAATAAAGAAGGGATGGAAAGTTGTATTTGAGATTTTTTCATGGCAATTTGTTTCAAACTTGTGGATGAGTTCTTTCTCACCCGGGGAGGATGATGTAGTGCAAACATGGCAGCCATGTCAACAAATTATGGAGGCTGAGGTGGCGGTGTTCAACGGTTATCTTGGAAGTGGCTTGGAATAGAAGACTTATTTCCCAACTACTTATATTTATATTTCTCAGTATTTTGTGTTTAGTAAGTTGTGCTTAATTTATTAGTTAACCTTGAGTCTTGTGTTGAAAGTTGGAAGAAGATGAAGACTTATATTTATAGGTGTTGATGTAAAGGAGAAAGCAAACTTTGAATATTATGTTTTGATAATGATATTATAGAGCATTTGCTCTTGTTTATCCACTCATTCTCTTGGTTGTGACTTCTTGTTCTATAATTTTTCTTCTTCCTTCTCATCCAACCGCATCATTTGGTATCAGAGCTTGCGCTATGCTCTCGGGCTAACTTTTATTGTTCTTGTTTCATGGCGACTAGAAGAGGTAGAGGAAGAAATGGCAACCGTATGATGGGAGATTTGAGGGATGAAAGAAATGTTGAACTTCAAGAACTTCGAAGACAAGTAGAGCAACTTACCTTGCGGCTGGAACACCAAGAAGCTCGTTGTGAGCATGGTAGATCAAGTCGTGGGTCTTTTAGTGACGAGTCCAATGAGAACCCTTTTGCCAATCATGTGGGGCCATGGTTGGGATGGTTCTATCGTGATTATGAATATGTGAAATTTGATTGACCAAAGTTCCATCGACGTTTTCAGCCCGAAGAGTGACTTGATTGGCTTAGTGCCATTGAGAAATTCTTTGACTACAAAAAAACACCCGAGAATCAAAAAGTGAAGCTTGTAGCAACAAGGCTTCAAGGTTATGCTTCGGCATGGTGGGACAAAGTTCAAGAGATGAGGCTTCGCAAGGGAAAGCCTAAAATTACTTCTTAGGAGAAAATGAAGTCAAGGCTTTAAGAGAAATTTCTACCTTTGGATTTTTTGCAAAGTTGTTTTTCTCAATTTAACAACCTTCGCCAAGATTCAAAAAGTGGGCTAGATTACACCGAAGAATTTTACAAACTCATGGCCCGGAATGACATTCAAGAAACTGAAGAATAACTTATTCCAAGATATGTTGGTAGGTTGAAAATTCCAATTCGTGATGAAGTAGAAATCTATCAAGTATGGGAGTCAATCATGCTTACAAATTAGCCTTGAAAGTTGAGGCTAAACTTGCTCATGGTGGTGATAAAAAGTTTGTGGATGTTTGTAGTATTTATCCTCCTTCAAAAGGTGAATCTTCACATAGTGAAGAAACTAATTTCAAGTTTGAAAATGTGACTAAAAATTCTGCAAAATCAGTCCATGCTAAATATGGAGGAGCTCAATTTAGTCGTAACAATCCAATTTCTTGTTTCAAATGTGGCCAAGTTGGGCATCGTTCCAACGAGTGTCTAAAAAGGCAATTTGATGTGCGTGTGGCATTTGGTAATAAAGACAACGATGAAGAAGTCTTTGATGATTCAAATCAGTCTATATATGAGGAGGAATGTGAATTGGAACGTGAAGAAATTGAACCCGAAGAAGGCGAAAGCTTAATGATCCAAAGAGCACTTGCCACTCCTAGAGTTGAATCCAATGAAGATTGGCTTCGGTCTAATATCTTCAAGACTCATTGCAAATCTCAAAGCAAAGTGTACACAATTGTTATTGATGGTGGGAGTTGTGAAAACATCGTCTCACAAAAAATAGTGAACAAGCTTACACTCTAAACCGAGCCTCATCCAAAGCCTTATCGGATTGCATGGTTTAAGAAAGGAAATGAGGTAAGAGTCTCTAAATGGTGTCTTATTTCATTTTCTATGGGCAAAAGTTATAATGATCAAGTATGGTGTGATGTTATTCCTATGGATGTGTGTTCACATACTCCTAGGAAGATCGTGGCAATATGATAGAAGTGCCATCTATGATGGTCATAAGAACACTTACACTTTTAAAATGGGTAAAGTCGAAGTTGTTCTCTTACCAAGTAAAGAGGAAAGAACCCCCAAAACTTCACAAGTGGAGGGTAGTAATTTTCTCGCTTTGCCAAAGTTTACGAAAGAAAATGATGAAAATGTGACGCCCACAACAACAATGGAGGAAAAAA